GAGTTTCGCTCTTGTTACCCAGGCTGGAGTGCAATGGCGCGATCTCGGCTCACCGCAACCTCTGCCTCCTGGGTTCAGGCAATTCTCCTGCCTCAGCCTCCTGAGTAGCTGGGACTACAGGCACGCGCCACCATGCCCAGCTGATTTTTTTTTTGTATTTTTAGTAGAGACGGGGTTTCACCATGTTGACCAGGATGGTCTCGATCTCTTGACCTCGTGATCCACCCGTCTCGGCCTCCCAAAGTGCTGGTATTACAGGCTTGAGCCACCGCGCCCGGCCCATTTTTTACTTTTTAAGAGCAGTTTTAGGTTCACAGCAAAACAGAAAGATAAAGAGACCCATATAAGCCCGCCTCCCATATCCACAGCCCCTCCCATGATCATCTTCCCCCACCAGAGGGGTGTGTTTGTTACAATTAATGACCCTTCATCAATACATCATAACCTCCCAAAGTTTACATCAGGGTTTATGCTTGATATTGTACAGTCTATGGGTTTGGACAAATGTTTCATGACACGTATTTACCATTATAGTAACATACAGAGTATTTTCGTTGCCCCAATCAATTTCATTCTTTGTAAAAGATTTGTCTTCAGAGAACAGATCGTACTGCAGATTCATTGAAGTAGCATGTGGAGGGGGAAAAGATGTTTAAGTCTGAGTTGAATCTAGTGAATCTCAGGAAAACAGACCAGACCCTTGAAGATTTCCTTGTCTTTCTCTCTCAGGGGACCAGTCAGCCATCAATGAACTCATGCAGATGAGATTGAGGTCTGGGGGCACTGAGGGTCTCTTGGCTGAAAAATTGGAGGTAATCTAGTATGTACATTTTTGTGAAAAGTTGTGAGTTGGACAAAGTCCAGAAGAAGGAGTAATTTATAATCCCTTAGGGATATTTGATATTAATATATGTATATTTGTATCTGTATTACACAATATCTACATTTGCTAAAAATTTTAACAAAAACGTTTTTTCAATTAACACTTTTAAGTATTCAATTTTTTTTTTTTGAGACAGAGTCTTACTCTGTCACCCAGCCTGGAGTGCAGTGGCGCAATCTCAATCTCAGCTCACTGCACCCTCCACCTCCTGAGTTCAAGTGCTTCTTATGCCTCCGCCCCTGCCAAGTAGCTGGGACTACAGGTGTGCACCACCACGCCCAGCTAATTTTTTTATATTTTTAGTAGGGACAGGGTTTCACATGTTGCCTATTTATTCTTTTTATTTAAAACAAATAGAAATTGGTCGCCGGTGGGGTGGTTCACATCTGTAATCCTGACACTATGGGAGGCAGAGTTGAAAGGTTCACTTGAGCCCAGGCGTTCAAGACCAGCCTGGACAACATAATGAGACCCCACCTCTACCAAGAAAAATAGTTTTAATTAGCCAGGCATGGTGACACATACCTGTAGTCCTAGCTACTTGGGAGGCCGAGGCAAGAGGATCACATGAGCCCAGGAATTCAAGGTTGTAGTGAGCTGTCTTTGGGCTTAATGCACTCCAGCCTGGGCAACAGAGCAAGTCTCTGTCTATTAAAAAAAATTAAAGAGGCTGGGGGCAGTGGCTTACTCTTGGAATCCCAGCACTTTGAGAGGCCGAGGCAGGTGGATCACTTGAGGCCAGGAGTTCAAGACAAGCCTGGCCAACGTGGCAAAACCCTATCTCTACTAAAAATACAAAAATAAGTCAGGCATGGTGGTATGTGCCTGTAGTTCCAGCTACTCAGGGAACCGAGGCACTAGAATTGCTTGAACCTGGTAGGCGGAGGTTGCAGAGAGTCTAGATTGCGCCACTGCACTCCAGGCTGGGTGACAGAGTACAACTCTGTCTCAGAAAAATGAAAGAAAGCAATTGGTATATACTCTTTATGGAGTATAATATGTTGATTCTAGAAAGAGGCAAATGATAGATTCCACTTATTTTCACCTCCATCACTCATATCCCCAGTTAAAGCTTAAACTTTTTCAAACTACTTTTCAGGCTTTGATCACTCAGACTCGAGCCAAACAGGCAGCTACCATGAGTGAAGTGGAGTGGAGAGGGAGAACAGTTCCAGTGAAGATCGACAAAGTGCGGATTTTCTTATTGGGATTGGCTGATAATGAAGCAGCTATTGTCCAGGTGAGGTGGAAGAACTTACTGTGCTGTCTTCTGTATGTGTCTGAAGGTTGTCCTTGTGTGTTTAAGATGTAGTGGCTCGTTAGTATTCAGTTCTCATAAACATTTAATGCTTTTTGGGATTTTGTAAGTCTGGAGGTGTAACTTATTGAATAAAATTATTTTGAAAACTGAGTTGATAGAGGAATTCTTAATGTTTAGAGGGCAAAGAAATTGACAGCAACAGTCATTAACATAAAAATAGGAGGTATAAGAGGCTGGCTTAAAGTAAGGGGCCACATTTGGCCCAGCAGGTGGTGCAGCAGCTTAACTATTATGTCCCTGAAGACTCTCTGACATGTTGTCACAGCCTCCTTGCCCTAAAGGGTTCACCTCTTAGTCCTGGGCCTTTGCAGGAGAGCCTGGTTCAACCAGAATGTCTTGTTTTGTGTGCGGTGTACATGCAGTATTCACGCAGAGCTGTATCACTTGATACTGGCTACTGACATAATTGCCTGTTTGTGGGCACGAACAACCAAATGCATTCTAAACATAAGACATCCTGGTGATCTTGCTATGTATGAGGTGGACAGTGATGGGGCCACTTTTTAGAGTTTTTCCACATGAGTTAAAGGACATCTTTAAAAAAACAGGCTGCTGACAGTCGACTCCCTCATCAGGGAACAGTTGCATTTCCTAAGACTTCACAGTGATCTTTTGCACCCTGAATAATTTGTGTATGAATTGAAGGGAGCAGCATTTTGTTAATGTGTTGATGAGTTGGCTTAGGCATCTAAACTTTTCAGCGACTTGCTCCAAAATGGCTACTCTGGGTTGGAGGCAGCTTTTAACAACTGAAGACTTCATGTGTGTCCTTGTCTGTTTCATATTGCCTCTCTCATATCCTCATATCCCTTTTATTTGCTTGAAGGACAGAAGACTAGAACAGTACCAGAAAGTTAATTTGTCCTTCAGCTGAAAGGCTGAGGAACTTTGCTGAGAGCGTTCTGTTGGCACTGTTGTATGGTGCTACCTCCTCAGGACAAGGTCTCTGGTAGCAACCATTTATATTATGTGATTGGGTTAATGCTTTGGTTTAAAGTGGTAAATTCTGGATGAAAGAAATCACCTCATCCTCAGTTAAGTGCCCAGCAGCAGAGACAGTCGGGCAGGAATTCTGACTTGAAGAGCAGTTGAGGGAGAGAGATCCATAGGGGCAAGTTAAATGAGGGCTGTTTCAGAGTGGGGCTACAGACATGTACCAAATAAAAAAACAGGAAAAGCTAACATTTGTTAAGTAATTTTGAAAAGTCACTGCTGACACGGTGGCTCATGTGTGTAATCCTAGCGCTTTGAGAGATGGAGGCAAGAAGATCACTTGAGCTCAGTAGTTGGAGGCCAGCCTGGGCAACATGGTGAAACCCCATCTCTACGAAAAAATTTAGCCAGGCGTGGTGGCATGCACCTGTAGCCCCAGCTACTCGGATGCTGAGGCGAGAAGATCACTTGAGCCTGGGAGCTTGAGGCTGCAGCCTGGATAGCAGCATGCAACTCTGTCTCCGAAAAAAACAAAGTTAATAATGCTTAACGTTTGGAAAATACATTGATGTTTTAAGAAGATCAATTTGGAAAGGGTGGGAAGGGGGCCAGAGATAAGAGACTACACACTGGGTACGGTATCCACTGCTTGGGTGACAGGTGTACCAAAGTCTCAGAAATCACCACAAAACTTAATCCATGTAAGTAAAAACCACCCATTCCCCCGAAAACTATTGAAATTAAATTTAATTATCTAAAGATCAACTTACAGTCTCACTTCCCATATGCCTTCATTGATACGATGTCATACTGAAAGGAAAGCACTGTTTCCTTTTATTTTATTTTTTTTACATTCATGAGTGTTCTTATGTGGTTTTTTTCCCTTGTTGGAATTATACTAAGATATAGCTTTGTATCATGGTTTTTTTTGTTTCTTTTCTTTTGTTTTTTAAATTGAGACAGAGTCTCACTCTATCACCAGGCTGGAGTACAGTGGCCTGATCTCAGCTCACTGCAACCTCCGCCTCCCAGGTTAAAGCAATTCTCTGCATCAGCCTCCTGAGTAGCTGGGATTACAGGTGTTTGCCCCATACACCTGGCTAATTTTTTATTTTTAGTAGAGATGGGGTTTCACCATCTTGGCCAGGCTGGTCTTGAACTCCTGACCTCATGATCCACCTGCCTCAGCCTCTGAAAGTGCTGGGATTACAGGCATGAGCCACCTCGCCTGGCCTGTGTCCTGTTTTTATTAACATGTTGTAAGAATTTTTCATGTTATTTTATAGTTAAAAAAAAAAAAGCTTGTTATTCACCTGGACAGAGACTCCACAGAGATGAGGATGGAAGGTAATGGTCCTCCTGACCCAGATGCACTGCTTAATACTGGTGTCTTATTAACCCTCTGGGGTGGGTGATGCTCTCATTTTCCAAATGGGGAAGCTGGTCTCAAGGACACTATAATTTACCCACTGTCATATATTTGATAAGCAATGCTTGGCTTTAAAACCATTTTTGACTCCAAAGTTCATGTTTCTGGAACTTTTCCACATGTCGTCTTAGATTCATCAGGAAAGCTAATAATAGAATTGCTTTATTTGACTTTGGTGAATAGCTAAATGCAGTTTTACTTAACAGAGTATACAAGCAGAGTCCCAGGCCCCTAATAAAGACTGAACAAGCAGGGCCAGTTGCAGTGGCTCATGCCTGTAATCCCAGCACTTTGGGAGGCTGAGTCGGGAGGATCCCTGGAGCCCAGGAGTTCTAGGTTACAGTGAGCTATGATTTTGCCACTGCACCCAACCTGGGTGACAGAGCAAGAGCTTGTCTCTTTAAAGAAGAAAACAAGGGCTGGGTGCGGTGGTTCATGCCCATAATCCCAGCACTTTGGGAGGTTGAAGCGGGTGGATCACAATGTCAGGAGTTCAAGACCAGAATGGCCAAGATGGTGAAACCCCATCTCTACTCAAAATACAAAAATTAACCGGGCATGGTAGTGGGTGCCTGTAATCCCAGCTACTCAGGAGGCTGAGGCAGAGATTTGTTTGAATCCAGGAGGCAGAGGTTGCCGTGAGCCAGGTCACACCCATTGTACTCCAGCCTGGGCGACAGAGCAAGACTCTGTCTCAAAGAAAAGAGAAAACAGCGTCTTAACTGAAACACATAGTTCTCAGCAGTTGTATCATCTCTGTTTCAGTACATTAGTTGGGCTCCCCAGGTGAGAGGAGTAGGAGGAGGGATGTCCTGTAATCCCAGCTACCCGGGAGAATCGCTTGTCCTGGGAGGCGGAGGCTGCAGTGAGCTGAGATGGCGCCAGTGTACTCCAGCCTGAGCAACACAGTAAAACTCTGTCTCCAAAAATTTAAAAAAAAAAAAAAGTTACCTTTCTCTTGCTTTTTGTACATGATGAGGATTGAAGACTTCTATGGGGATGGGTTTTTTTCTTATTAGTGACATAATTCAATTTGGACTAAATTAGACCAAGAGAAGAAAACGTTTTACAACTGCAGGTGAAGCCATTGCTTTCAAAATTGAAGGTCTTGCTGGGCGCTGTGGCTCACGCCTGTAATCCTAACACTTTGGGAGGCCTAGGCAAGCGGATCATGAGGTCAGGAGTTCGAGACCAGACTGGCCAAACATGGAGAAACCCCGTCTCTACTAAGAATACAAAAAAATTAGCCAGGCATGGTGAGAGGCATCTGTAATCCCAGCTACTCGGGAGACTGAGGCAGGAGAATCGCTTGAACCCTGGAGGCAGAGGTTGCAGTGAGCTGAGGTTGTGCCATTACACTCCAGCCTGGGCAACAAGAACAAGACTCTGTCTCAGAAATAAAATTTAAACATACAGGCACTTCTGCACACAGGGTCAGAGCTCTTCACTCTGGACCCATTTTATGCAGATCCATGGAAGATAGGTCCAGGGTTCTATGATGAGGATAAGTCAGAATCAGTAACCAAGGTTTTGTGCCCCAGCTGCTGCAGGCTTTCTCTGCTGAATGAAGTGATTATTCATTCAGATTGTGTTGTTAAGAAACCTGACTGTGCCAGTAAAAATCGTGATATGCAGGCATAGTAGGAATACTGTAGGGGCTTTTTTTTTTTTTTTTTTTTAAATGGAGTCTCACTCTGTCACCCAGGCTGGGAGTACAGTGGCATGATCTCAGCTCACTGAAACGTCCACCTCCCAGATTCAAGCACTTCTCCTGTCTCGGCCTCCTGAGTAGCTGGGACTACAGGCACCTGCCACCATACCCAGCTAATTTTTGTATTTTTAGTAGAGATGGGGTTTCGCCATATTGGTCAGGCTGGTCTCGAACTCAGGTCATCCACCCACCTCAGCCTCCCAAAGTGCTGGGATTATAGGCATGAGCCACCACACCCAGCCTGTAGGGGCTTTTTATTTTATTTTATTTTTATTTATTTATTTTTTTGAGATGGAGTCTCACTCTGTCACCCAGGCTGGAGTGCAATGGCACAATCTTGGCTCACTGCAGCCTCCAAGTTCAAGCAATTCTCCTGCCTCAGCCTCCCAAGTAGCTGGGATTACAGGTGCATGCGACCGCCCCCAGCTAATTTTTTTTGTATTTTTAGTAGAGACGGGGTTTCACCATCTTGGCCAAGCTAGTCTCGAGCTCCTGACCTCGTGATCCACCCACTTCCGCCTCTGCCTCCCAAAGTGCTGGGATTATAGGCGTGAGCCACTGAGCCCAGCTTTGTAGGGGCTTTTAATTGCCCTTCCACAAGAGACAGTGGAGTGTTTGAAGGGTACATGAGCTTAAAAGATTGGGAGGAACCATATGAGGACAGTTTGAGATCTTCTGATTTGGAAAGAAAAAGGCTGAAGGAGGAAGAAACCTGTTAACATAATGAATTACACTGATGAATTTTCACTGTTTACCCAGTATTGCATATCTGAGTTAAGCCCACTTGGTTATGATATAGTATACTTTTTATATATTGCTGGATTTTATTTGTCAACATGTTAACAA